TCTATTATGGGGCAGTTTGATCATCCAAATGTTATTTACCTACAGGGAGTAGTTACTCGGTCTAATCCAGTTATGATTATTACTGAGTACATGGAGAATGGCAGCTTAGACACATTTCTTCGTGTGAATGATGGAAAGTTTCAAACATTACAGCTTATAGTTATGCTTCGGGGTATTGCTAGCGGGATGGCATATTTAAGTGATATGAATTATGTACACAGAGACTTGGCGGCACGTAATGTACTCGTAAATGCCCAATTAATATGCAAAATCGCGGACTTCGGATTGTCACGTGAAATTGAAAATGCAAGTGATGCATATACAACTCGTGTAAGTATAATTAAACGGATAGCTTACGATTTTAGGTAATCTGCGTTTTAGTAGGCTATAAATGGATTCTTTCAAAGCATTACTACACCATAAGACTTTACCATAACATACAAGAAAAATAATTTGCTAACAGTATGACTACGATTGGTTTATTATGAATAGAACAGATTATATACATTTTAAACATATTTTAATAACAATACGAGATGAGTACATGGAAAAGCGGTAAGCTTTTCTTATATACAACGAATTTTCACCGTTTGAAAGGATTTGACCATCGGCTCTGTACTATGAGTTTGCGAAGGCAAAATGTTTCTAAGGCAATTTTTGAAGTAGCACCACAATTAACAAACCGACTTCTCAATACATTTATGTAGCTAAATAATCATGCATTCACGAACCGTTTTTAGTATCCTTTCATACTTAAAAATACAATACTGCAAATGTAATTTTAAAACATTAAAATTACTTTGTATATTAAAAGAGAACATATAGCAGATTTTTTTTTGGTTTTCCGTATTTGTATTTTAAAGTATAATAGTAAAGTATATTCTAGAGAACCTGAAAATATAAGGGCTTAAATTTAACCAGACCTCAACAACGCAGGAATAATATTAAATTAAAACAGCGTGACCATTCAAAACATGATGTGTTTTTCGAAGTTATAATAGTCTCTTTTTATATTAACTTTTTATGTTTTATATTTAAAGGGCGGTAAAATTCCTGTACGTTGGACTGCGCCTGAAGCCATTGCTTTTAGAAAATTTACTTCAGCATCGGATGTTTGGTCGTATGGAGTAGTTCTATGGGAGGTCATGTCCTATGGAGAACGCCCATACTGGAACTGGTCAAATCAGGTATTACCGAAATGAAAGTCTTATATTTTTATTTATACTTGTTACACCTATAAATTCTTCAGGACGTAATAAAGAGTATTGAAAAGGGCTATCGTTTACCAGCCCCGATGGACTGTCCAGAAGCCCTTTATCAGCTAATGTTGGATTGCTGGCAAAAGCAACGTACTCATCGTCCCACATTTGCCAGTATTGTTTCAACTCTTGACAATTTGGCAAGACAACCACAGTCATTATTGACAACCCGACACTCACCAGAATCAGACGGTAATCATATTTTGGATGCACAGCGTGGTCAAAATATTTTCATAAGTACCGACCTTTGGTTAGAGCACATTAAAATGTCTAGATACTGTCAACATTTTAAAGAGGCTAATTTAATAAATGCTCAACAGGTAAATATTATAATTTTATCAATTTTAGTTAGATACTAATTTTAATTTTCGTGTAAAGATATCTAGATTAACAGCTCAACAACTGTCGGACATGGGAATTACTTTAGTAGGACATCAGAAAAAAATTTTACATCAAGCCCGGCAACTGGACACTATAATATAAACAATTTATTTTTACAAAGTAGTGTAAGATGTACATATAAATAATACATAATTTATTATATAAATAATATAATATATGGTCGAACTTTCTTATTTCGAATTAACATCTGTAGCATAAAAAAATCGACAGGTATACTTTCAAGTTGTAAAATATTCACGTGCATTTTTACCTTCTATTGCCAATAACATAAGGGTGCGATTTATGCGGACTTCCAGTTAGGAAAGTTCGATTTATATATATTTAACAAATATACATAATTGACACGTGTGAGATACAAAAACACAAGAACACATTACATTTAATAAGGATTTTATAGGTTCTCTTAACTAGAACATTAGAATATATGATAGAAAAAAACATTGTTTTTACGTTGTTTAAAAAATATTTCTTTATATGCCAATGTGTATCAATTATTTATCATACAAGAAATTTTCAAGCTTATTATAAAAGTATAGGGGCGCTAAGATTGCCTAGCTATTTTTACATTTTTTTGTTGTGATAAAAGTGGCATTAACAAAATTATTCATTATTTTATTAGATTTTAATTACTTTGCATAAAATAGTGAAAAACTCAATAAATTACACTCGTGCGTAAGGTGCGGTATTCCGACCTAAATAATAATGTTACTAACGTGTTATCACTATTAGTATCAGTATTATTATCATTATATGTTATGTCTAGTAAGTATTTCAATGGAAAAGGATCTATTGAGGGCTACAAAATCTTCGTGTACTGAAACTGCGTAACGTTCGAATCAACAGATTCATTCGTCAGGAGTTCCCACAGGACCAACTCTCATGAACGTCCCTTGGCAGATTAAAAAGTAATACGCACATAGATAGCTGCGATAAGATCGCCGGCTAAGAAATTCCGTTTTCATGACTATGCAATAAAACAAGTATTTGTATTTTATAATTTCTTTTGAGCTTTTTAAGTTTACATACAAACTTAATTTTCTAACAAATTCTTGAGTTCTAATGTAATTTATATTTTTATTAGCATAGATTCTTATATTTCAATTAAATAAGCATATTTATTTATTCATATAAACCAAACTTGCTGGTATGAGCACTATCATCCATGGCCTACAGCTTGCTTTATTTAGTGAGCATCTACATTTTAACTTATTTACGTATTGATTTATTATTTATATTTAGTTTATTAGCCTTTAGTTGGGTTGATATTAATTCAATTGGCCTTAAGTGAGGGAGGGCTGGTGATAATAATTGTCACAAAGAGATAACAATTTAGCACAAGTTGCCAAATGGTAATTCCCGTGTACCGTCCACATTAAATACATGTTTTTGTATTAAGATTAGAGTGTTTTAATTACTCAAAAAATATTGGCATATTCTTTATCAGTATCAACAGACGCGTCGATATAATCATATTAGTCCGTCTGTACGCATAGGAGTCCTCAATAATCAAACTTCTTCAAGCGCGAATATGTATACAAGTAAGTAATCGAACAATAGGAACGGATGGGATGAAAAAAAAGAAATTTGTAATTTTTTTTTTTTGAGAAGAATATATGTATATATTTTATAGGGTCGAAAAAATTCCTTCTACCTAAAACGTTCTCTTTGACGAATCTTTTTGCCATTCCATTCTATATATGCTATCGCGGAGATCTTCCAGTTCAACGCATCTGTAACGCAGCACTCTATGGAAGGTCTGGATGTTTTTCGAAACAAGTATTGGAGAAATTTTCTAAAACATAGCTTCCGTAAACGTTACTAAGAAGAATAAACTATCCGGAATACTTCTATGATATATATGTACATATATTACTCCGAAAATGTATATAAAATGGTGAAAAAAATCGTATAAAAGAAATTTAACGAAAAACGCATAATTTAATTGAAATGGGTAAAAATATTATTAATATCCGCCGCGAAATTATAAAAAATCAAACACTGACGATATTGATGCTTCAAAATAAAAAAATGCCAGTAAAGAGAAACCAGATAAGACTACATGCTTCTTTTTCGTTTTCGTCATTTTATTTTCATGTGTACTGATTTTTCCAATTGCTTAGTTGTAAAAATATTGCGTCTAAACATATAGCTTTGATAATACTTTATATGTTCTAAAATAAAGCAACTTGAGTTTTTAAAAGGTATTTGCATTAAGTTTTGTTTTTTATCACGTTGGTATTAAATTATAATTTTACATCAATTTCTATGTTAGAACATTTATATAAATTTTCTTAATTATTAACTGAGTACATTTTATAATTAAAATAATACAGAAACAAGTGCTTATATGTATATGTATGCATCAACTGTATGTAAACAAAATATTGTTTGGTCTTCTACCTGAAAGTAAACTATTGTAATAAGGCAAGCATTCGGCAATCTTTGGCTTTTCATATTTTCGCTTATATTTCCAAAGAATATAGAAAAAGAAATTCCAAAAAATTATATTTCCAACTGAATGCATTTTAGCAGAACACTAAATAAAACTTTTTGATGCTGTGTTTCTAGCAAGCATCACGTTGTGAAATTTTTTTGTTAATTCAAGTTGAAGAAAAAAAACTGGAGTAATTCGTTGTTTTCAATGCGTTCCCTAAACTCCGACAGAAAGAACCAATTGCATTAGACGGGTCGCTCTAACCTTGTGTTTCGAGCTGGAAATGGCACCTTAATAGATAGTGATTCCTGCGTAGCGCAGGTTTGTTGCAGACCTGCCAGAAATAATAAAATTAAAAATAAATAAAAAAAATGTTAAAAGTGTGGGGGTGGGGTTTAGGGTTGTGGGCATATCCATAGAAATTGGAAAAACAAATAATAAAAAGAACAAATTTCAACACATTTTTCAAAACTGTGGATGCGGCAAAAAATATGTTGCATACCGATAGAAATTAAAAACCCAAATAAAAAAATGAAAAAATATTAAAACATTTTTCAAAAGCGTGGGCGTGGCAGTCTTGGGCGGTATGGACGGTTAGAATGGGCGTGGCAACGTGAGTCAACTTGCGCTATGTCTATGAAATTTGATTGCTTAATATCAATATCTCGACGTTCAGACGGACGGACAGACGGACATGGCCAAATCGACTCAGCTATTGATTCTGATCAAGAATATATACATATATCTTTTATGGTTGGAATCACATCCTTTTGCCTATTACAATAAATCTAGTATACCCATCGAGTAACGCGTCTAAAAACGCAATTAGTCAATGAAGCTATACATACATATGTGCACAAACGAAAAATATTTTTATATTTCTAACATAGTATTTTCACCAGAAAAAATATATTATGCTTTTTTATTACATGTTAACCCAATACTTAGAAAGAATAATAAAATACAGAGTGTATGTAAGAATAAATCGATTGGGAGAGTTCTTTTACGAACAGGCACACTCTACAACCTGCATATCACTCCATGTCGAAATTTTTAGTTTGTCGCTGTGATCTTCGTCAACATGTAATATTTCTAGCATCTCAAGCTTTGAAGGAGCGCAGCATGGACGGGGGGCTCGGTTGTGATCTTCTTGCCATATTAGACTTTGCAGTAGGGCGTGGTGATGGGCGGGATTGTGACGTGGTGGGCATCGTCCGTGGCAGTAACCTGCATCGAATACCTTCGGCTGTAAAATGAATTCGAATCCCTTAATGTTCTTAAAGGCAACATTCAATTGATTTCTACAACATCGTTGGTGTAATTTGTAACAGTTGTTGCTCCACTTATCCTTTCTCCAGGTGCTATCATGGTCTGAACGATGATGCACGTATTGATCGCTTCTGTTATTGGTCAGTATGATGTGGTGAACGTCCGAGTCGCCATGCTCTTGGGAATTAAGTGTTCCGTGTCCAATTATATTAAGAACTGGCATGATGTTGAGGTGTTCGTTGTTTGAAGCTGCCGAGTTTGGTGATGACGACGGGCTGAAGTCACTTAGTATACGAGCACCTATACTTTTACACTTATAACATTGAATTTCTATTCCCAAGTGGTCATGGCTTTTGTTCAACCAACTACGAACAGCTTTGGTCACGTCGAATTCTATCCACTGTGTTCGGGTTTCTTCGTAGCCAACATTTTCAAATTCAAATTTTCGAGACGATATCTTTCTTCGTCTATTCGCTGAAACAAGTTGATATACTTTCAAATTTAACTGCTGACTACGAATTTTTTTGGATTGGTTCAAGTTGACATCACCGGAATTACAGTGCCTTTCGATTTGATCATTGTGACTGACCTTTTTTTTTCTAGATCCTTGTCCACGTCGAAAATTTGTTGCCAGGGATGAGCTATAGAGAAGCATAAGTCTAATATTGGCCTCGTCAATTTTATCATTATGAAAATTGGCCTCTTTTGCATTTGTCAATGGAAAGTGTAAGAGAATATTCGTTGTATCCTGTTCGCCATGTAGTACCTCTTTATAATGTTTGTGCTTTTTGGTTTGTCTTAACCTGTCCATTTTTTTAAGCGACCTTCTATGACGCGATCGTTTGTTGCTTATGTCATTGAATTCGTTTGTAGTAATGCTTAGAAAATGTATGTCTCTTAGATGGGAAGCTCCCATAAAGTTGTTAAAATAGCTATTTCCTTTTTTCTGGTTATTTCTTAGGCGACTTAAGTATTCTACATATTTGCTGGAATATTCAACTTGGCTTATATTGACCTGTAAATAAATAATATCCTTTAAGTGGTCCATACTTGTTTGGTATAACACTGCACAACTTTCTTTCGCAGAACGTTGCAAATGGCAGTAATTTATCTCTTACCTTTCTCATATCTGGTAGTTTTTTTATCCCAAGGCCTTTCAAAACGAGGCGTTTAAGCTTGGCTTCATCTATTTTTGTTGTTTGTTTAATATGTCCCTTAGTTTTTAGGTCAATGTCCGTGGTTTCCCTCGTTTGCCTACTTTGAATTGGTACGATGTTAATCCCCTCAACTGCCAATTTTTTATTGGATAATAGAGACAAGTTTTTTGACTGGCTTACATTAATCAGACTATATTTATTTGAACTGGCATTGTAGATTGAGTCTCTGCTTTCTTTGCTAATGCTTTTAGATAAAATGTTAAGACCCGTTTCCGGAGTTGATTTGGCTCTGATTCTTGGATGTATTTGATTGGTTTTTAGTCTCTTAGCTTCATTTTCAAAATTTTGAAGTTGCCAAACTTTTAAATTTTCGTTAGGATGACGGTATGAAAACACTGCTTTTGAATTTGACGTTTGGCGGGATATACCATGGCCACTGACTTGATGCTGAGTTGGCAACAATAAAACCAATATGAACCATATTTTGTAAAGCTTTAGTGACCTATTACAAATTTGGGTAAGTTTACCCTTAGCATGATCAGTACAAGGCGAACGTTTGAAAGAAGGTTCCAGTGTATTAGTGTTTCTTATAGTTGGTGTACGGTAAATATAAATATGCCAAAAAATGTTAAAAATCCAGATGGACCTCTCCCGATGCGATGGCAATTTTATTATTGTACGATAACTAGCTTTACATATATGTTGGAAAGCATCGCACCACTCAGCTGTCTCCTTTTTTGCCGTCAAGTTTGGTTCAATTTTCATGTTTCCTCTGCATGGCCATTGGGTTTCGTTTGCTAATGTTAATTATAAAACTGATTATCTCTGCATTTCTTCGATCTTCCAGTATGTAGAATCCTCTTCAAAAATACATATACAAATAAATACATATACTTATGTATATGACGTATGTATGTACATATGTTTGCTGGCATGTATTTATGATGCTCAGAATCTTTGTAAAAATGTTCACATCACACCATTAGTTATTTATGTATGTACAATGTACACGAGTTTGTTAAGCACCATTGATCTTAGATTCGTGAATTCGTTTACGCTGATTAATTTAAGAAAACAAAATAAAAAACTGTCGGTAAAAGTAAATAAATGATCACAGTTCTTCGAAAATTTGTACATATTTTCGTCTCGTTCGCACTCTCATTAACATTCTTGAACACATCGATACGGAACCTGTTCGGGCGTTGCTTCAAATTCGACTAAAATACCTACAGCAAATGCTTACTTAACAGCAGCAATACAAACAACACTCCCATACACTCACCATGCACCCACACAGCTGCAGACGAGACATGCACGTCTTTACAAACACAAGATATTCTGCGCGTTGTGTTTTGACATGTATGTACATGCAACCGTTATGCGTTCCAAGGACCCTATTAGATCGGAACACGGTCAGTGTTGGAAGTTTAAAGAAGCTGGCTAGAAGCATTAAAATACAAAGCTTTTTATAGTGTTTTACTATTCTTTTGGAAAACAAAACGAAAATAAACAAGAGAGAAACTTTATAGTCGAGTTACTCAGCTATTGGAAATTCAAACGAGAAATTTCAACATCTTCTGGAATATCGGTAGATGTTAAGATAAAAAATTACAAATACAAACAATTTTTAATATTTTCAAAAGTTTGGGCGTGACAGTATTTGGCAATTTGTGGGCGTGGCAAACAGATTTTTGGCCAATAGATAGAATACAAGACTAACAAAAAGTTGAGAATATATGAAAACATTTTTTAAAAGTGTGGACGTGGCAGTTTTGAGCGGTTTGGGGGCGTTAGAGAGGGTGTGGCTTGCGATGTGTCTTTGTCTAACCTCAGCTTTCTAGCATTAATAGTTCCTGAGATCGAAACAAACATTCCTGAGTAACGAAAGCTTTGCTAACTGGATGGTTTACAAAGTGATTGCACAAGATAAGGCCCGGCAAAATTTAAAACAAAATACTGAAAAAAACATGTCCAGATTTGTTTATCTTAAGTGTGCAATTTTGTATGGGACATTGCAACAGCCCTTCGTCTAGCTGAATCGAATATTGTTCACACTCCCTTTTAAAACCTTTTGAAAATAAATCTCCGTTAGCTTAGCTTATTCACTTTCCAAGTCGTTCGTGTGGACAAATATTTAACTTTCCCCTTTGTGAAGAATTCTTTATGAATTCCTAGCAAAGGGTTTTCTGGATGGTTGGCATGTATGTACATAAGAGCTCTGAAAAAGAAGGTAATCGCTGAACCCCCATTTTTTTTCGTTTATCAGCTTTTCTTATTCATGTGTGTACATTTCACAACATGACATATTTTCACATTAAAGAATATATACTTTATAAGGTTCTCTTACCTATTATTTAGTTTTCAACGAATCTTTTATACCCTGTTACTGTACGAGTAATGACTTTGACATGCAGATAAAGCACATGATCTCCTTGAACAGCATTTTCAAAATACTAAATAAGGAAACGTTTCCGACCATATATATATGTATTCTTGATCAGGATCTGGCCATGTCCGTCCGTCCGTCTGTCATTTTTTTTCAAAAAATTTGTATTTTCATTTTATTATTTTTTTTCCACTTTTTCCCCTTCGATATTTCAGAATATTTGGAAATTTATCGATTGCACTTCCACTGGCTGAGTAACGGGTCTCTGATAGTCGGGGAACTCGACTATATAGAATGCTATAGTCGATCTTTTTTACTTTCTAAAAACACCACAAAAATGTTGGGGCGAACACTTTTCTCTTACTTTTTGGTTGAAAAGAACTTTAGAGAATTCTTTTTAACTCCATAACTGTATAGCCCTTGACATTTTACAACAAGTAATTTAAGAAGGAAATCTACATATTAAGTCATGTGCAAAATTATTATTTTTAATAATGTAAAAGATTTGGTTTTTTTTGGTTTATTATAATAAGAGATGACACTAAAACAAAGGAACAGTTGGAAAATTATTTTATAATAATTTGCGTTGTTTTGGATCCTAAAGTGTTCTTATTCGGTAGAGACCATTAATTATCATTACTTCAAGATAGGAATCTAAATAATAGCATACTTTAGTAAGGGTATATAAGCTTGTCATACCTGTTACTCGTAGAGTAAAAGGGTATACTAGATTCGTTGAAAAGTAGGTAACAGGCAGAAGGAAGCGTTTCCTACAATATAAAGTATTTACATATATTCTTGATCAGGATTAATAGCCCAGTCGATATACACCACAAAATTGACTCTCCCGATCAGGAATAAATATACATACTTTATAGAGTCGGAAGGGGATCCTTCTTCCAGTCCTTCTACTCTTTAACGGATGTTTTCTGGATCGGATTTTTTAAATATTTATAAAACTGTATTTTCCTACTCACTAAGTGTACATACACGCCATCCTATTCCGAATCTGAATTGTGCCAACAAGAAAAAGTTAAGTTAAGCCATAATCAATGACACATTGCCAAAACATCAATACATATCTAGTTGAAAGATCCAAATAAGAAGACCTTCATTCGTTGAGTTTTTGTAAGAAACTAATTTTATTTAGACATACATATCTTCGGCTTTAATAGGATGAGAATCGCATCTAGAGTAAATGACCTACGTAGAGGCCTAAGTAAACAGTCCCCGCCTTATCAAGGTCCCACTCTCCGGCACATCTGCATATCTTGAGCGGCGAGGACCTTATCTGTGGTCTCCCACTAAGGAACTAATTAAGGATGCGAGGAATGATCTCAAGAGGCGTACTCATGTGGTGCGCACTTAGTCAATGCTATCCAATAAGGGATCCTTTCTTGTTCCCAGTTTTGATCAAAATTTATATTTTTAACTTTATAATTTGGTTAACCAATAATTTGTACCCCATGATAGATTCTTTCGTACTTTTTATTTTAAATTGTCTTTATATAGTTAATATAGTGCGTTTTTCTTAGGTTCTCAATTTGTTGGGAGGCTTGTACACGGGCACCCAGCAGACTTAAATATATATTTTAAATGGGTCAGTAAATTGGTAAGCATTGTTTTGTGGGGGAAACAACAATTCAGTAGAGTAAATCTTATTTATTTTAACATCCGGAACTAAATTTGTAACGCACTGTGTATTTACACAAAGTTACCACTGAGCCTACGTACCCATTCTTAAATCGGGCAATGGCTGAACCCCCTCCTTAAATCATTATTAAATTAAATTGTATGTAAAAAAGTCAACTAACCAGCCCCCTTATATTTAAGCGTTGCTTTTATTATCATGTATAATGGGGCAATCTCAGCTTGCGGAACAGAGCATCGTATTCGGTAGCTTAGCTACTCAGTTTAATACCAGCAATTGCCCTGCGAGGGTGCTGTTTTTGTGACTCTGAACTTAGTCAAAATCGAGAGCAAAAGTCTAGCCTACAACTGCAGTGTTTGATTGTCCTAGACTATCCGTCTCTCGTCCTTAATATCTATTATTTATTTTCAAAATGTACACTAACTCCGCAAGCGATGGTGACGGAGAAGGAGATGGGCGTAAACACGAATCCATTGAAATGAGTAAAGAATTGGGTCATCCAACCAATTGTCAGCCCTACGCACCTACAACTACGGACACGTCAAATAAACAACAGGTTAGTATATAAATTATAACGCAAATCATTCCAAATTAGTATCAATTATTCCTGATTATTATCATACCTATAATAATAGCAGTTTGTTTTATGGTTTTTATATTATGATAATAATAATAAGAGCAAATCCAATTGTGATAATGGAATGCTCCTAAAATGTAGTCTACAGCTGAAGACTAACATTAATAACAGTTTTATACCCGTTACTCGTAGAGTAAAAGGGTATACTAGATTCGTTGTACCAGGCAGAAGGAAACGTTTCATACCATATAATATATAGTTTATATGATCATATTCTTGATCAGGATCAATAGCTGAGTCGATCTGACCATGTCTGTCCGTCCTTCAGTCTGTCCGTATAAACGCCTCGATCTCAGGAACTAAGCACGCAGCTCCCAGAGACATAGACGCAGCGCAAGTTTATTTCTAAATGCTGCCAGGCGCTCTCTAACGTCCACAAACAGAACGAAACTGTCACGGCCACACTATTAAAAAATTTGTGATATTTATTCACTTTTTTATTCATATATCTTGTAAATTTAAAAAAAGCCCACAAGCCGCCAAAACTCTTACTCCCACATTTAAAAAAAATTTTTTTTTTTTACTATATTATTTTTTCTCACTTTTTACCGATATTACAGAAAATTTTCAAATTTCTCGTTTCCACTAGCTGTGTAACGGGTATCTGATAGTCGGTGAACTCGACTATAGCATTCTATCTTGTTATAATTGAAATTTTCAATTTTTGAATACTTTTCGACTTTCTTATATTCATATTAGAGGTTGCAGCAGGCATCGAAATTTCGCAAAGCCTTCAAATTATTCATCGTTTGTTTTCATTTGTTGGATTTCTCTTATTTCTTTATGCTTGAGTTATTTGTTTGATTTCGAAAACATTTTATATACTAATTTAATGTCTTATGCTTTTAAAATCGCGGGCTAAAGATGTGTATCTTGTTGCTTCTGTTTCTTTGGTACCCTGTTTATTATACCCGTTGCGCGTAGATAAAAATACTAGATTCGTTAACAAGTATTTAACAGGCAGAAAGAATCGTTTCCGACCATATAAATTTTTATTAATTTTTGATCAGGATCAATAGCCGAGTCCGTCCGTATGAACATCGAGATTAGGCATGCAGATTCCAGAGACATAGACGCACCGGAAGTTTGTTAAACGATGTTGCCACACCCACTCTACCGCCCAAAACTGCAACGCAGTTTTAAAAAACTGCAACTTTTTAAAAATGGGATTTTTTCCATTTTTTATTAGTGTGGTAAATTTCTATCGATATGCTAAAAAACTATTTGCACCCCCGTTCTAATTTTCTTATTTCCTCCCCATTTTCTACCGATATTCCGATATGCCTTCCACTATATACATATATACAGCAAAATTCGCTAACCGTTAACTCGCTTTAACAATTGGACTTTTGTATCATTTTTTCAGTTGGTAAAGATTGAGCAACTCCCCGATCGTGGATCATGGTCTTCCAAAATGGATTTCATACTCTCAGTAGTGGGCCTGGCTATCGGCTTGGGAAACGTTTGGCGATTTCCCTATTTGTGCTACAAAAATGGAGGCGGTGCATTTATATTACCATACATTATAACGCTGTTTTTGGCCGGGATTCCAATGTTTTTCATGGAATTAGCCCTTGGTCAA